ACAAACCCCCCCCCCAATCCCCCTCCCCCCCCCCCCCGTGAACTTTGTTGGTAAGGCATATAGTGCTAAGATTTACTGCAGACTTCCATTTGCTACTGATTTGATGGTTTGTATCAAATGTAATGCTGTTTAAGTGTGAGGTTTTCTGACTGTGGATGAATTGCTTAGATAATGTGCCTTCAGTTATTAAACTGTTTGGCTTCTGATTGATGAATGTAATCAGAGTGTGGTCTTGATTTGAATGAGTTGGTATAAGTTAACCTAGGCTGCGAATTCTAGCATATTGTAATACACTTCTGCTTGTTGTCTTGTTCACTTGGTAACAGAGTTAATGTTGTCTTTGTATTACGGTTTCTGTTACAGAATTTTGTTGAATTGTTCTGCTTTGAGAATGAGATGTATCTTGGGTACTTCACACAAATAACTATGTAATAAATGTTTGATCCCAATGTTTGTCCAAAATAATATAGTAAGTTTTAAGATGTCAATTTTAAGTGTTGTAGTGCACAGCTACCTTTTTATCCTTTTGAGATGTAAAGTAGATTTAACTAGCTCCATGATTAAAAAGCTCCTTTTTGAAAACTGGAATTGTTTTTTATGCAATTTTGTAATTACCTCTTGACACTTTCTGATTATGGTGTGAATGTACACTCTGAAAGTTTAGGAGTAAGATGCCTTAATTTAATAAGCTGAGCTTCAGAAAATTCTTCTTTCTCTTTGTCTCTGCAATAGGTGGAAACAGTATGAAGCATATGTGCAAGCTCTGGAGGGCAAGTACACAGACCTTAATTGTAAGTTAGCCAAGTTTCAAAATGGTACGATTTACCTGAATGTTTGTATAAAGCAGAGTGTTCAAGTAATGTCTGTGCTTTCTAAAACTGTTAGAAATCAGAGATAATCTGTGTGTCAGTTATTTGTCAGAAAAAAGTCCGTGTTTTTCAGTGCAAGTTTTCAACTTTTCCCAAATCTCTCAGCTGCTTGTTTTCCTTTGCAGATCTTAAACAGCATGTAAAAAGTCTGTTTTGCATCTGTAGGACCATCTGTACAGAGACTGTTTGGGGGGAGGGGGGGGAAGTTTCAAAACATAACACCACAAATAGGTGTATTTTCAAGACTTTTCTATTAGAAAGGAGACTTTATCCTCTACCAAAATACTCCATGAATGTTTGTGCCTTCAGTAGTCTCACAGGATTGTAAACCACATGGGAGGGTGGGAATTGTTTGTGGAGGTAAAGGTCTAAAATGAGTCCCCAGGTAATGTTTGATCTGATTAGGCAAACTAACTATTTGATTGTCAGTCTTACATGGTCTTTTAAACTTGGTCAGTACCTCAGTTTTTCTAAAGAGAATATGGGAAAACATCCTACTCTCAAGTGGGAAAAGCTGGATATATTCTAGAAGTGACTGAATCGCCAATCCTAAGTCACTTTTAAAAATTGAGTTGGCAGCTAGAGGTGGAGTCTTTCCTGTTTTCCACTCACCTTTTCAGTCTAAATACTAGAGTTAGTACCACTGAGTTTGAAGGGCAATTCTCTCTCGGTCCAGATGTCCCTTCTGTTGTTACATCTCTCTTCCACTGCCATCCCACAATGTGTGAGTTCTGGAGAGACTAAAATATAGCATATGTAAGCAGTTGATTTCATTCTAATCTCAAACTGTCCTAACATAGATAAATAAGTTGTCTTAACATTCCTAGTTTCTCAGTTTTGGAAACACTAAATTAGTAATCAGTATTACTGAATTATCTGCAAAGAATTATATTGTCCTGAAGCAATTTGTGATGTTCTTAGTTTACATTTACAGCCCACCATTCTCAAGTACTTAGAAAAAAATAAAAATCTTAATTATTCCAACTTTTCATCATTTTATACGTGACAAGTAGCAGAGTGAATGTATACTGTTTGGATCAGGCTGCTTGCACATGTTCCGTTTAGAGTAATTTGGAAATACGCTGTGCTACCTTCTCTTGTATTTCATACATAAACTTTGTAAATGTTCATGGATCATAAATGTTCATGGATCCTAGTTGTGAGTGAGCTGCTGTTTCTGAAGTTCTCTAATCTCTGTTTATTCATGGAGTGTTGAGACCAGTGTAAGGATTGACCACAATAATTTTTGATCTTTTTTTTTGCCAGTGTAGCCTTCCCTTCCTCCCCAACACTCCTCAGCATTTCTTGTAGATACCAGGACAGTTCCAACTTCCCAAGTTTCAGACTGCAAGTAGTAATAGTACATTATGCAAGCAATTTAAAAGTTATTCCCTATATAAACATGGAAACATTTCAAAAGTTTAGTAAGTCTTAAGGAAGGATCAGAAAGATGTATTTAAAACCAACTGTTGTCAAGCATTTCTAATACTTAATCATATTTTGATTTTTCTTACTTATGCTTATTATAGCTACACTTATTATAGTCATGCTTATTTATGATTCTTGTGCTGTTTATGAATTTGGTTTTTAGATTCTTTTAGCTGTCTTTAAAAACTGTTCATGAGGGGATGCTATAAAACATGTGCTTTTTGTGTTTTATTGCTTGTATTAGCTAATGATGTGACGGGATTGAGAGAATCTGAAGAGAAGTTGAAACAGCAACAGCAAGAGTCTGCCCGAAGAGAAAATATTCTGGTGATGAGGCTGGCAACTAAGGAACAGGAGATGCAAGAGTGTACTGTAAGTATTTAGAGAGGATAAGTGTTTTCAGATTGTTACAGGAATATCAGCTTTTGAGCTAGTACCCATGTGCTATGTTTTTTGTATATCTATAGCATCACATTTTCTGTGCTTAAAGAAATGGCAGGGCACGTACACTTTCACTGAATTAGTATAGATCACTTCTTAAAGTTTGCTTCTTTTAATATTAGCTATTTCAGTTGATTTTCAGTGACAATTGTGCTTGGAAGGACTTTTGCGTCCGGACCAAGCTAATTCGTGCATGAGCCATGCTTGCTTACTTCTAGCATTTATCACCAGTGCATATTTACAAAAAAATACTACTTCTGACTATCATTGGATGCAGAAACAAATTGTAACGTAACGGTAAGACTGAGTTTACTGGGTTTCATTTCGGAGGATTTAGGCTGGTTTTTATGTTGGATTTGGATGACAAGGTATTTGTAAGCTTCCGCATCCGTTTGGCAGGTAGGGGGAAGAGCTACTGACTTGTTCAGAGGGGGTTCTTCTGAAATTTGGCAGATCTGCTTCTTAGGGTTTCTAATGTTCTTTGTACTGAATACTTTTGTTGTTGCTGTTTCTGTTTCTCCCCCTTCTATTCCTGTGGGTTTTCTTATGACTTTGTTTTCTTCTGTGTTTGGTTTTGGTTTCTTGAAACTGTCTTATACCACTTTTGGACTTTTGATCTTTTTTGGATTACCTTCTTAATGTAACTTTCATCTGCTTTAATTTGGTGGTTCCCGAGAGAAGATTGTAAATCTTACTGCTAGTTTCTGTAATATACTCCTGAGAGCTTCTCTTATGAAGGATACAAGCTCTGTGCAAAACTAATAACTAGTATTGTAGCTTTCCTCTGTTACTTTCTTTTAGCCTTCCTGTCTTTTTTTCCTGTAGGTTTTCAGAGCTGTCAGGTATAGTAGTATGACACTTAACTCTGTATGTGTTATTTTCACTGCCCTTCAGACCATAAGATGACTTTAGTTTGTATTAAGCACTGGTATGAAGGGAAAAAAAGAGGGTAAAAAGCTTACTTTGTAGTGGCAAAAAATGAACCACAGAATCACTGAGGTTGGAAGGGACTTGCAGACTGTCCAACCTACCTGGTCAGAGCAGGGTCAGTTGGACCAGGTTACTAAGGACTGTGCACAGTCATGTTCTGAGCATCACCTAGAATGGAGACTCTAAAACCTCTCTGGGTGACCTGTGCTAGTGTTCAACCACTGTCACAACAAAAAGCATTTTCTTAGGTTGAAGTGGAATTTCCTGTGTTTCAATTTGTGCC